TAGCTTCTTTTCGTCTGCCCCATTGCAAGAAGATGGCAAAAGCAAACATTACCAGAGACATCATCCACAGACAGATCAAGGTATGTGTTAGCCAAGAGTTCGGTTCTGTTGGGCAGAGAGCAGACAGAGAATCAGTGTTCATGCCGGACTGGGAAATACTCATGTTGTTGCTTTTACTTCTGAAAAGATCTCTGCTACTTACGTATTGATAAGCTGTGTAAGAAGCTTAACAGAGCAAAGACATAGGACCTATCGCTGTCCTTCATGAAGAGCTGGGATGAAGTATGGCATAACAGGAATACAGTTCTTTTCCCTAGCAGGAGCTCACCGTGCTAGTTTGACATCAGCAGGTCTGTTCCTTTTGAGGACAACATTGAAGAGAGAAATCTGGCTACTTGTGTTTGGGCACCATAAAGGACCCTTAGCTAGCTTCCCTCATGAGTTTTCTGTCTGCTTCTTTATGTGTTCTCTTCGTGTGATCTTGCCATCAAAGATACTTTCTGACTGTTGTAAAGCTAATGATCTCTGTCTCAGTCTCTTGCTGTCTCTTTTTCTTTAAAGACTGGTGTGTTGCTCCCTTTGTGTAAGGAAAAACTTCTGTGGTGGTCAGATCAGTCATCTAATGGCTGCATTTGTGAAATATCTCTTAACGTGAAAGGACTAGCTGCAGCAGACACAATAGGCAATTATTACTTGGACTCAGAGGCCTTAAATCATTTGCAGCTTTGCTGGTAATCAGCATTCACGAAAGTGGTCTGTTAGTGGCCAGAATAAGGAACTAGGAGCTTGAATGTTCGCTTCACTTTGCAGTTTGGTACCAAACTTTGTATTATAAGCTTGTAATTTAATCCATGTGCAAAGATTTATTTTGCTGCTCTAACAAGGAAGGGATGGTTCTGTGGTTAGGTTGTTAGCCTGGGACTTTTTCACACTGTCTGCTCTGTTAGACTTTTATGTGTGACCTTGGGAAGGTTGCTAAGTCTGACAGTTCCTTGTAGGAAAAGCAATATCCTACTGCACAGACCTCACAAAGCCACTGAGGTTGCAATAGCAAGGCAATTTTAACCGTAGCACCTTGCACTGGGCCTAGCAGTGTTTTGGGAATGCTGTCTGTAAAAATATGTCAAGGGGTTTGAAGTTTGTAATGAAAATTAGTACAAAAAGCCTGTCTTTTTTTGCTTTTCCTCCAATCCCCTTATATGTCTCCATTTTGTTTTCAAATAGCTTTTGTTGTGTGGAGTTCATTACTTAACATTAGTCTGCAGAGCTGTAATGTACTACTCTAGTTCTTTGTGTCTGCTCTGTGACTACTAACATATTCCTAGCACTACAAGTATAATTTTTTTACATTAGTGTTCTCATCTATAATAGTGATAACGAAGGCTTAAGTTGTCTTCCCCTGACTATAGCATGGCATGGGACGGGACTGAGGCTGGATCAGGTCCTAGGCAGGAATCTCCTCGGACATTAGATGTTCCATCCAAAATATGACTTGCATTCCTTTTTCTTCATGCCTGCCTCTGCAGTTGGCCTTCTTTCATCGAATCCATCTGCTAATGCATCTGTGAACCCTGTGAGATCGCAGGGGAAACAACTGTCCTGCTTTCCTTCACCTTCATTTGTACTGACGCAGTTCTGTGGCAGCTGTTCTCTCCCCTGTAGAACAGGCTGTGCTGTGGTACTGCAGCTACATGCTCCCACTCCATTTCTGATGAAATAAGCCATCTCTAAAGGATGCTAGCCGGTTACGTTTCCAAATACTTTGCTTTGTGGTGGTGCTTCAGGACAGATTCTGTGTAATGGCGGACTCCAGAGCAGCTGTGGTGTAGTACTGCAGTCCTCAGGAGTGAGTTGCTTCTGAAATCCTTGCCAAGGGATAGCAACAGGTATTCCCAAGCTCTTTTGTATCTTTCCTTTCTGGCCCAAAGTAGGCAACTTCTTCTGTCTTAGTGTGAGCCTCTCAAAACTTGTCTTTGCTACCCACCTGGAGCCTGGCAATCAGATAAACATCATTTTAAACCAATTCAGGGGCAAGGATTACAAACTGCCTACCTGGAGATGATGCGAAAGGTGTCTCCCTGCTACAGGGGAGGTACCTCTTGCTATGGACACCCCAATACCTGGCAATGTCCCTGCTTGATTTTTAAACTTCTTGAATCTTTTAAAGGGAAGAAGGGGTGTTTTGTTTGCTGTAATCAGTGTGGCACTTGTTTGCTTCATGCAGGAGAGGGGTGCGCTGGGCTTCGAACGACACTATCATGTCACCGATCCATTCATTCGGCGCCTGGGCCTAGAAGCAGAATTGCAGGTAAGTGGGCAGTGTTTAAAGAGCAAACTGAGCTGCTGTTTGTACAACTTACTGCAGAAAGGACCGCATGCGGGAGCCTACGGAATCCTCTCTCTTGTATGGGATAGATACCGATTACTTAGTCCCCTAAACTGCATTAGAGCCAGGAATAGCTCAGTGAGATCTTGTGTGAGCTTTCTGCGTTACCTAATGCACCTACAAGAGAGCCTTTAATGGGTGTGTATCAGCTAATCCTAACGGTGGTGCCTGAAGAAGGCAACTGTCAACTGTTGAAGATACTCGGCTCTCATGCTGAAGAGTGTAACATGTTGTCTAAAAAATAGGTGGTTGTAATGCAGTCTGACACAGCTTAAAAAGATCTTAAGATTGTCTTGGTTTGGGGGAGGAAAGGATTCTTTTGTCCCCCTTTTCAATCACATCTGCCATATCAAACGCTACTCAGTGCTCTCACAGTCTTTCCTGGTACAGTTGTTAGCTAATTTAGTGAAGATGTATGATATAGTCACCCAGCAGCAAGGTGCTTCTAAAAGAATTATCGAAAGCACATTTTCCCTGCGTTCCCAGAGAACCTGTACATGTAATTTGTCAGCCTAGCCGAGGGCTTTTGAAGCAAAGTCACCTTTCCATGTGTACAGCAGGATTTCATCTGTAGCCTCTGAAACTAAACTGCCATTTTATTCAACACCACTTTTTTTTTTTTTTTTTTTTAAGTTTGTTTCATTTTACCTTTTCTACTCCAACTGCTATAGCATGTCTGTCTTTTCTGGAGGTGCTTAGCTGCCATGTGGGTGTTTTTTTGCAGGGTTGGAATAAAAAACAACTGCTTGTATTGGAACAAGTTGTTATGTGTGGGGAGCTCGCTGTGTCCTTGTCTTAGAACCGCTC